CAACATAATCTCTCAAACACTCACTCAAGAGAAGGAAAGAGAACACTCAAGAGTGGAAGTGGAAGCTCTTATTGCTTTATTGCTTAGCAACTCTTGCTTGATACAAATGAAATGCCTTAGCCCCTATTTATAGGCAAGGCTAGCTTACAATGGATGGCTATGATTAGCCTTCTAGATTGTTCTTACAATCAATGGTTAAGATTGAGTCTCTAGACTCTTCTCCTAAAATATCTCCCTAGATATTTACATGGCACTTTCTAGAAGCTTTTACAAGGGTCCTTAGATATTTTAATGAGACTTCCTAGAAGCTTCTAGATACAAGATATTTATCATACCTTTATTATCCAAGAAAACTCTAGAAAACCCTAGGATCTTCATGGACCCAACCATGAATAAATGAGTCCAAATGCATCCAATTGAGCCAAAAATGGGGCGGTTCGTGACATTCTCCCCCACCTATCCAAGCGATGCCCTCATTGCTTAGTCTTCTCATGGCGAAACTTCTTAATCAAGTCTTCAAACTGCCACAAGGATCGCGCAGGTTCCCAACTGTTCTCACAGTCGGGTAAGCTTTTCCACTTCACAAAGTACTCTAACCTCGGGTGGTTGTTGGCTTCACGAACCGTCCTATCCGCAAGAATTTCTTCGGCCTCCTTGTCGAACTCCATACGAATCCCTGTTGGCGCTCGACTAGACTTTCCTCTATCTGAATCTTCCGTATCTTGATGATATGGCTTTAACATGCTCACATGGAAGACCGGATGATACTTCACAGTTGGGGGAAGCTTTACCCTGTAAGCCACGTTCCCCACTCTCTTCTCGATTGGAAATGGGCCCTCATACTTGCGTATCAAGCTCTTGTGTAGCCCTTTATGTCGATCCAATGTAGAAAGCTTGACAAGGACCAAGTCTCCAACTTGATACTCCATATGCCTTCGCTTCTTGTCGGCCCATTTCATCATCTTCTTTGCCGCCTTGTTCAAGCACGAGCGTGCCAATTCGTTCTAATCTTGCCACCCCTTGGCAAATCGGTAAGTGGCTAGGCTATTTTCCTTATAACCTATAGCAATAGCGTTTGGAGTGAGTGGTTGCTGACCTGTGACGATCTCGAATGGGCTCCTCCCGGTAGACTCACTCCTTTGCAAATTGTAGGAGAATTGGGTTATGTCCAGTAGCTTCGCCCAATCCTGCTGGTTAGCACTCACATAGTGTCTTAAGTATACCTCCAACAAGGCATTTACTCGCTCCGTCTGGCCATCAGTCTGAGGGTGGAAGCTAGTGGAGAAGTTTAGATCTGACCCCATGAGTTTGAAGAGTTCCGTCCAGAACCTTCCTGTGAAGCGACCATCCCGATCACTTACGATGGACTTTGGTAGCCCCCAATACTTCACCACGTGCTTCAGAAATAGTGGTGCCGCTACCTCGGCTGGACACTTGGTTGGGGCTGGAATGAAAATGCCGTATTTAGAGAATCGATCAACCACCACCATAAGAATGCTGCATCCATATAACTTGGGTAGACCCATGATGAAGTCCATGGAAATGCTTTCCCAAGGTCTCTCCGGAATAGGTAAGGGTTCTAACAATCCAGCCGGCGTTCTCTGCTCTGTCTTGTCTTGTTGGCACACAAGACAAGTCTTCATGTAGGCCTCAACATCATCCCTTATGCGAGGCCAATAATACGTCTCTTCTACAAGAGCTAGAGTTCTGTGCACACCTGGATGTCCCGCCCATTGAGAGTCATGACATTCTTTAAGGATCTCCCGCCTTAGATTCCCGAACAATGGCACGTACACCCGTATCCCTTTGGTATAAAGTAGGTCTCCTTCTAGCCAGAACCTTCGAGTTTTGCCTTCTTTTGTGTAGTCCACCATATTCTTGGCTGTAGGATCATGAGACAAACCTTCCTTAATACGATCAAGTAAGGTGCTCTGAGGATGACTTAACATAGCAGCAAGTTCCGTCTTCCGGCTTAACGCATCTGCCACTAAGTTGATTTTTCCTGGTTTGTACTCGAGCACATAGCCAAACTCTGCCAAGAAATCCTACCATCGTGCCTGCTTAGGAGATAACTTCTTCTGAGTCTGGAAATAGCTGGTGGCCACATTGTCTGTCTTTACTATGAATTTGGACCCAAGTAGGTAATGCCTCCAAACTCTGAGACAGTGGACCACGGCCGTCATCTCCTTCTCTTGAACGGTGTACTGCCTCTCGGTGTCGTTTAACTTTCGACTCTCGTAGGCCACGGGGTGTCCTTCTTTCATCAACACCCCTCCAATTGCAAAGTCACTCGCATCAGTGTGCACTTCATAAGGCTTGCTAAAGTTGGAAAGGGCGAGAACTGGTTCCTCCGTCACAGATCTCTTTAAAGCTTCGAATGCCCTCTGGCATTTTGAACTCCAATCCCATACCTGATTTTTCTTCAGCAAGTCTGTTAGTGGAGCCGCCAATGCTGAGTAGCTCTTTATGAATCTTCGGTAGTAGTTCACCAAGCCTAGAAATGATCGCAGCTCTGTCCAATGCTGAGTAGCTCTTTATGAATCTTCGGTAGTAGTTCACCAAGCCTAGAAATGATCGCAGCTCTGTCACCTTGGTAGGAGGCTTCCACTCTAGTATGGCTCGCACCTTAGCTTGATCCATGCGAATTTTGCCTCCTCCAATGATGTGGCCTAAGAAGACCACCTCCTCCTGTACGAACGAGCACTTTTTTCTCTTCACATAGAGTTCATTACTTCTAAGCGCCTGGAATACCTGCCTCAAGTATTCCACATGCTCGTCCATGGTTTGGCTATAAATCATAATATCCTCCAAGTAGACCACCACAAAATGGTCTAGGAAAGGCTCCAACACTTTGTTCATCATGGTGCAGAATGTAGCTGGAGCATTGGTGAGACCAAACGGCATAACCAGGAATTCATAAGAGCCATACCTAGTTACACATGTCGTCTTGGTTCATCTCCTTCAGCAATCCGTACTTGATAGTATCCTGAGCGCAAGTCAAGCTTAGTGAAGTACCTTGCCTGCCCTAATCTGTCAAATAAGTCCGTAATTAGAGGAATGGGATACTTGTTCTTCACCGTGATCTTGTTTAAAGCTTGGTAGTCGATGCATAGCCGCAATGACCCATCGTGCTTCTTCTGGAACAATACAGGGGCACCATATAGAGCCTTAGACGGACGAATGTATCTGGCATCCAACAACTCCTTTAGTTGTTTTCGAAGTTCCTCCAACTTCGATGGTGCTATGCGATAAGGTCCCATGGCTGGGGGATGAGCTCCTGACTCGAGCTCGATCTTGTGATCCACCTCTCTCCTAGGTGGGAGCTTACTTGGTAGCTTTGCGGGCATGACGTCGTGGTAGCCTCCAAGACACTTTGGATATTCTCGGGCACGTTTTCTCCCTGGTGTGAGTCTTCCTCCACCTTGACTGTAGTAATAAAAGTTGGCTCATGTCGACGGACACCCTTGGACACTTGTAAGGCTGAGAGCATTTTAGAAGTCACACTCTCGTGCTTGATCGGAACTGTGCACGCCCTATCCTCTAGGATGCACATTGTGTTGGTGTATGGAACCAACACGACCTTTACCTTGTCCAAAAATTCCAAGCCAAGTACTACGTCAAAGTCGTCCATGGTCACGATCGTCAAGTCTTCTTGGCCGCACCATTCTCCGATGCTTACATCTACCTTCTGAGTCACGCTAGCTATGGGAGTAGAACTTGAATTGACAGCTTTAATGACACCCCCTCCCTTGGTGATCTTAAGATTCAACCTACTAGCAACATCGCGAGAAACCAAGAGATGAGAAGCACCAGTATCTAGAAGGGCCTTGAAGGTTTTACCGGAAATGGTTGTCTCAATGAACATTGCCCCCCGAGGTCTTGCATCCACTTTTGCCTTGATTGTATTGATGAGACGAAGGGAGTTGATTCGGGTCTCCTCATTTTGCTTCTCCTCTTCCTTCTGAACTAGGGCCGCAAGATTGGCCCTCTTGGGACAGTCCATAGCCTTATGTGGACCGCTGCAGAAGTAGCATGCCAACTTCTTTGAACGGTCACCTCCTTTAGGGTTGTCATAGGATTTACCCTTCTCGGACGTTGACTTAGGTGGGAACTCTTTGGATGGCTTATCCTTCTCTCCCCCACCCTTAGTAAGTGTACCCTTTTTATCCTTTGGCTTGGATGAGTTGTTCACCTTCTTGAACTCGATCAGCGACTTGGCTACTTGCATTGCTTGGGCTAGAGTCTGAACGCCACACCTTTGTAACTCCATCTTGGCCCATCCTACGAGGCCATCCATGAACGAGAATAGAGAGTCCTTCTCACCCATGTCTGGGATCTCTAGCGGCAACTCTGAAAATTCTTTCACGTAATCACGAATTGAACCTTTTTGAGTAAGGCGACGGAGTTTACTTCGTGCCTCATCCTCAGCATTCTCCGGGTAGAATTGCCACTTTAGATCTACCTTGAATTTTTCCCAAGTAGTAATAGAGCACGTACCTTTTTTCATATCCTCGCATCGTCTACGCCATCACAACGTAGCGATGTCTTTGAGATAGAGAGGTATGGCTTGGAGCTT